AAAAAAAAAAAAAAAAAAAAGGTCTGATACAGGGAGGGAAGGCAGAGAGAAAGCCTCGAAACAAAGACTGCAGAAATGTGCGCTCCTACAATGTCCTCAGGCATACAGTAACAGGACTAGGGCTACACAACTAAAAATGGCCCAAAGTTTGCCAAACACACACTTATATCCACACCCCTACAATGGGAGTGAGGAGAAGATAATTAATCAGGTGGTGAGTTGCTGTTAATAACTCTTGAGTTGATAGGTCTGAGTCTATCCGATGGAGCAGTTTTACTCTTCCTCTCAAGTAAAAGGGCAGGAATCAGTGAAAATTGTGCTTGTCTTCAAAAGGATATTTCTAGGCCTCCTTTCAAAAGCACATAGTGAAATGTTCACACCAGCCCTTTTCAAAGCATTGTTCTTAAGATACTTCGTATCTCTTCTAAGAGAATACATTTTAGACCAGGTTACTGTCCTGGTTTTGTCCTTCCTGGCTACAGACAAGAGTATAGGATTGGATACCAACCTCAGGACAGCATGATGTGGGGCTCTGTGGCCAAAGGTGACCCCGATCTCAAATCCCAGGGTTTGGGAATGGCCTGAAATCATTGGTATGGATGGGGAAGTGGAAGGGAGGTCACCACTAATGGGAGATCCAGAACATTTTTCTACAGGGTTTTAAACTTGGTGAAATGCTYGAACTTGTCTAAGTGGCTTCAGTTCATGTGACTGCTCTTTTCTGGCCTGCTACAAGCCATTCCTGGCATCTAAGTAAGCTGTCAGAAGCAAGAAGATGTGGAGATGCCCCTGATAGAAAATGAATGCTGATGATTTGGGAGAAAAAAAAATAAAAATAAAAAAAATCTCTAGCAATCTTTGCACATGTGATGGAGAAAATAGTTTCAGCAGTTAAGATCAAAAGTTAGGATTTTTTTGTTGTTCTTTTGTGTGTGTGTGTGTGTATGTTTCCTCTCCTCTCCTCTCCTCTCCTCTCCTCTCCTCTCCTCTCCTCTCCTCTCCTTTCCTCTCTTCTTCCATCCTATTTATATCTTTTTTTCTTTCTTTCTCTATCAAACTTTCTCTTCTTTTGAAGAGATGAATCTTAACATTATTCACAATAAAGACAATGAATTAGATGATTTTTGTAACCCATGAAGAAGCTGGCAGTTACATTGTAGCTTCATTACATTAACAATATCAACATTATTATATTTTTTTCTCCTGGGTTAGAAATTGAAAAAAAAAAAAAAAGAAAAAAAAAAGAAAAGAAAAAAAGATAAGGCTTTGTTTGTTTGCTTGTTTGCTTTTAAGACTGTGTGCTGAAATACACAAGGGAACGTATGGGAAAATAAAAGACATGGGAGAAAACTGTTAGTTTGCAAGAAAAGGTTCCAAACACAGCAGAAAGGATAGAATTTTCACTCAAAAAAAAAAAATGATTTTACAGGAGAGCTGCCAGCGAGCAGCAGAGGGCGCTAAGCTAACCTGATTTATTTTAAACCTCTGCCAATAACACATACTTACATACATACATGCAGGAGAGGATATACTTTATGACAGACACAAGTACCCGCTCTTACTTTAAAAGGCAGAGGATTCCTGAAAGTCTATTAATAAAATATAAGTATTTGGCTATTGGATAAATGGCTATTAAAAAARAAGACGATACACCATATGAAATGAGAGCGTAATACTTGTTGAGTAAAAGTTGATCCTTTTTTTCTGAATTTTCACCAATGTGTTCATAACGGTGCTGAAGCTCCTTTCCTTCTTGGGCCAGCTGTTGACGGACAACTAAAGGAGATCATAYGAATATTTTATTTAAGCTCAGCACTGCTTTTAAAGGTACAGGCTATAATAAAAATAAATAAAATTAAAATATCTGCTTGTTTACAGTATCGAGCTGCAAACTTTGAGCTGCCTGATAGGAAGCTGCAGCTCCCTGCCTCTATACAAAGCACACGTGGAAATTACCGTGGTAGCACTTGGCTGCTTGTAGTGGGCTGGTAATGCGCAGAAATCCGGGGGATGGAGCAGTTTTCGGCAGGAGCCGCTGCATTTAGCGAAGCCCCATCAGAGGGCGCCGCTGCCCCGCTCAAGTCCAGCGCACGGCCGCGGCCCCTCGATGCCCGCTGGCTTCCCGGGACCCCGCAGCCAGGGCAGGGGACATCCCCATGGACAGGCAGTGCTTCGGGGAAAAGTGTCCTTAAAAATAAATATATAAATAAGTAAATAATTAAGTAAATAAGTAGTAAAGGAAAAAAAAAAAGTCATATGAAATTGCACGAAATTACGAAATTGCAACTGCGATGCTGAGTTGCAGTGCTCAGCTCATCACGGCAGAGCTCCGGGGAGTGTATTGCAAGTATGACCAAAGCATTCTTCCCCATTTTTTTCCCTTTT